CAGGGCGCCGCTCTCTGACTGCAGCGCCCGCTGGTAAATCAACTCCAAGGTGGAACGTCCAGCTTGGCGCGCTAAAAACTCTCGCCTGCTCATACACTCCCAGCTTCTTGGTTCTTCTTGCTGGATCCTCCCCAAAACTCGATACTGTAAACTTCGGGCATCCAACCAATGCCACGATAAGAGAGGCCCGTTCCCGAAGGTTTGCGTTTTGGAATCAGGGTAGCGATGATCGCAAGAAGTTGAGACGGCATGCAACCAACGCGCTCCACGCACATGAGTAGTTTGCAAAATGGTATCTGCTGATCGAACGTCAGCAGTCTGAAGTGACGTGTGAAGGACATTCCACGTCTCGGCCGTGGCGCGGCTGAACTTCCTCTGGGCCTTCTTGACGTTGGGGGTGATCTTCGGGAGCCTGGAGGCAGAAAGGGGATCTCGATTACAGCAAACCCTCTGGCAGTTTTGGCTTTGGACGGCTTCCAAGCTTGAACGGTGTTGGTCCACCTATGGGCCCAACCAACACCTGAATTAGTTTTGTCCGCCACCCACTGTTGCCAAGATTGAGTGGCCCCGGGGGACTCCGAGCCTTTTTCCTTATCCGAAAACTTCTTCACCTGGTCGTGCAACTCCGAAAATATGGTCTTGACCTGTTCCGAAAAGCCTTCTTGGCCAAGGGCATGGGTATCCTGAAACAGACTCCCTCCGAAGGTGCGAACCTTATCTAAAATAGTTTCTAGCTCCGCATTTGCGGTGGACTCTGCAGGCGGCTCTCCAAGCGCTTGGAGCACGTCTGGAAGATCGTCTGCCTGCTTCCTGGCGATGTCGCCTTGACTCTCCATCACCTGATTGAGCAGCCAACGAACTGAGCGCCAATGCGACTTTCATCCTGCTCGGTGCTGACTTTCTATTGCCTTAGCTAGTAAACGACTCATATTCGGGGGAGCGCATCTTTGACCAGGGTGTTTCACTGGAGTATTAGTAGCTCTACTTATAGTGGTTCTCATGTCGCGAACGAGGATATCATACGTTTTGTCTAGAGCTTCTAGCTGCTGAGCTGGGTCCTTCATGTCCTCCAAGATCGCCTCAAGGGTGTCCAGAGCGGCCTGGGTCCTGGGTCCGAAGGGCTTCCTCGTGGGGAGCGCTGAGGCCTCGCGCAACACAGGGATCCTGACCTTGGCCGGCCCCGCATGTCGATAGACTGCACCGGATTTTTGAAACACGAACTCGTGGGGAAAAAACAGTATTGTTGCTGGCTTTGCCTTGAAACATCGTGGAGCCGTTAGCGTATACCAACTCCAAGCCAGCTCTGTCACAGACTCCTGAGGCTGTGACCATTGACGGGTTCATTTTGAAATCTGTTCCCATGAAGACAGGCATGTTGTACTTCTGCTGGCACCACCCTGCAGTGGCAAAGAGGTACAAGTTGGCGTTGCTGAGGCCTACCGAGTCCTCGAAGCAGGCTGAAATAAAACAGATGGGGTTTTGCCTTGGAATTTCCAAGATCGCCGCTGTAGCTCGGTGACTTGGCATGTACTGCGGTAGGTCGGCTGGCTGGATCCCGATGTTGTACCCATACTCACCAGGATGCCCGTGCCACTCATGCTGTAATTGCTATCGCTGAAGATGCAGTCTGAGAAGATGGCCTTCCATCCTCGCTTCTCGCATCATTAAATTGCTTGCGCCAACTTGTCACCTGACATCTACACCTCTTGGCACAGTAGGCTGTTCGATGTCCTAGATCGATGCCCCACAGCTGCCATCGATGGTGACAGCTTCAAGAGCTCTGGTAGTGTTACCCAGGCGGTGTTACACTGCCACGTCGGCTTCTGGACTGCTCGCTGCCGATCCAAGGGCCTTCTCGAGCCTCTTGGTCTCCTCTGGGTCGGATACTTTAGCCGAGATGCCACCATTCAAGTTGGCGATGGCGTTGGTCTCGCTGGCGAGCCTCTTGTTTGCGGCGGCCTTGTCCTTGTCGCCCATCGTTATGGCTGCCTTCTGTGATGCTGCTGCGGCTGCTTCCCCCTGGCACTCATTGTCCTCCTCCTCCTTCGCGTGGGGGAGGTCGCCTGGCGGGGCTGGTTTCGCCTGCGCAACTGCCTGTCGTAGATCGCCCTCCAGCGACTCGACCTTCTCCTGGATGTGCACTGGTGCGTCTGATACTGGCCCAACCGCCAGCTGCGACATGAACTTCGACAGGCTCGGGAAGGGGGACGCTGGAGTCGCCGATGTAGGTGGCGCACTTGCTGACATAGTGTGAATGGTAGCTGATAGCTGCGACTCCATCTGATTGATCTCGTCCTTTTGCCTTGTCGATCTCACTTGTGTTCTCTTCGTGTTCCTGAGGTCGGTCTCTAAGCTGTTGCAGAAGGTCTTGGCTTACTTTTCTCTAGTGCGCTCAATTTGATCCCGCAACGACTGGGCTTGCCGATCGAGAGGTTTTCCTTGAAGAGCTTGTTGCTTTGCCGCTTTGAGCTGGAGAACTGCCTGCTCGTAGCTGGGCACTCCGACTCCTCAGTTGGATGTCCAGAACCGGGCGAGGTCTGCGCACGCCGTGGCGGGGTCCTGCTTGAGAAGGGGAGGCCGCGGAGTTGGACCCCTCGACTTCCCCTCCTCCTCCTCCTCCTCCTCCTCCTCCTCCTCCTCCTCCTCCTCGTGCTTCTGACTCTGGCGGTTTGCTTCCTGCTCCGGCGCCTGCGGTCGGACGGCGGCGACGATTCCCGGTCATCCCTGCCTCTGCCTCGACCCACCGGCGCCCTGGCTAATCTTCTCCTTGACCTGCATGCGCCTGAAAGCCTGCTGCAACTTCTGCACCCCCTGCAACTTCTGCACCCCCTGCCCGCCACGCAAGCAGCAAAATTTGCTTCCGCTGTCGCAGCAGTCCCACTCCTTGCACTGCTCATTCCCACAAGCAATGTACTCTCGAGCTGAATGCAGCTGACGGCGACTTTGCTGATGATGCGCCATGGCCTCCGCTCGAGAAAAAAACACTTGAAATTAAACTTTTGGCGCTCCGCGTGGATTTCTTGGATCCGCGCCTGGGCCCCCCGGCGGCGCCTCCCGCGCCGCCCCCAGCGTGCGCTGCGCGCGCCAGGGAAGGGGGTCGGGCGCGGATCCAAGAAATCTGCTCGGAGCGCCAAAAGTTTACGTTGATGTGTTTTTGTTTTTCTTGTATGTGTGTTGTCAGAAGAGCGGTGAGAAGGCAACACGCGTGATGGTGTGCAGGCCCGTACGGGCCTGGAAGCTATCTCGAGCCCTCTACCCCTAGACCTCTCTAGGAGTGCAATTCTATCTTGAGCTTGAGCCAGGGGGAAGGTGGAAGAGGAGGAGGAGGAGGAGGCGTGCCATCGTGGCCCCGACGAGGGCATCGATGTGCGCGGGCCCCGCGCCCCCCGACCGCGGCAAGGAATCCGCGGACAGAGGGCAATGTTTCGATGATCATTCAGCCCATTTCGCTTCGCAGTTTCATCGTGAGAGCCATGCAATGGTGATGGCGTGGTGCGCTGAAGCAGCAGGCACAGCCGACCAGTGTGACAGATGCCAGTTCAATCTCTCGGCCTGTCAGGCTCGTCTTGCCCGCGGGGCCAAGCAGAAGGCGGCCCAGCGAACCTCGGACGCCAAGATGCAGGAACGGTGGGCTTGCATCGACAAATTGCGTGCCATTCATTTTCAGCTGCAGTCAGGGTTACGGGGCTGGCGGATGTGGTGGATTCCAGAGGGGCCGCATCAAGACGTGAAGCAGAGGCCGCCGTGGCCGCAGCAATCGTTCAGGGGCATCGCTGGATGCCAGCCTGGGACGAAGCCACATGCCAGAACCAGAACGTACGAGAAGCCCACGGCTGAGCCCGCGCGTGCGAGAAGCGGGGCGCATTTACCTGGCAGGACCAAAGCGCGATAGGCCACCAGTGGCGTCCGACAGCGCAGAGCGTGGTGGAGGCCAGGCGCCATCATTTGCATACCGCGTCTTGCGTGTGCGAGAAATGCCCGCAGCGGGGAAGCGAAAGTCATCAGCTACGTGCGCGTGCCCAGGCGGCCTCGGGCCATTTCGGCACACCCCTCACGATGATCGTGGCCCCATAGGGAGCTCCACCAAAGGCTCCAGTGGCAGCCTCCCTCACGGCTCTCAGGGCTCTCTCCTGCTGCCGCTCATCGGTCAGAGGGACGCCGTCCTCGTCGTCGTCGGCGCCCGCGAAGACGGCCACGAACGCATCCCTGAGCATGTCTGGCTCCGGCGGGAAGCCGTGGCCACAGGGAGCGCTGGCGAAGATGGTATTCACAATTGCGGTATTCACATTTGCATATGTTTGGGTCCTTTGCCAGGCCAATTTTTACGGCCGGGGCGGCCCCGTGTCGCCGCCGGCCGAGCCGCGGCATTGCTCGAACGAGCGGCCGGGGCCTTTACATCGGGACGAACATTGTCCGGCAGCGGTTATCCGTACAGTGGAGTCCCATGCCAAGAAAAACCCTGCTTGCCTCCAGGGTGCCCTGGGTTTCTTGGGTTTCAATGTTTCGCCACGGAAAGCGTGACGTTCCCACACCAAAAATCAATGGACGCTCTGGGCTCTCAGGTTTGGGTTTCTTGTGGGGGGGTCTCTTGTGGTGGAGCCCCTAGTGTAGCGCTACACGCGTCCCAGCCAGTCGGGGAGCGTTCCTTGACCACTTCGCCGAACCTGGGAAAACACCCAGCCTGTGCCTGGGGGTTTCCACTCCCCTCCTCCCATTCCATTCGCCAGACCCGACAATTTGCGTTTGCAACACGGCCTTGGGCATTTTCTAAACAGCCCTGCCTTGTTCGATTTGTTTTGAGGGTGCTTTTGCTCAAGGGCATCGCGTGCCGGGGTGATCACTATGCGGGTGGATTAGTTCGCCTTTTTGGAAGGATGGGCAGGGGGCAGTCCAGGTTTTAGACTTGTCTCCTGCGCGGCCGTCGCGGCAGTGGCCCAATCTCCGGGGAAGGGACAGAGGCGAAGCGAAAGAGGGGGCAGCGCGAGCGGCCTGTGAGCCAGGTGCGACACGCACGTGCTGATCACGGACATCGAGTTGGCGGACATCCCCCGCAGGAGGATGCGCGCCGCCAGCCTCCGCACGGCGCGGGGGGGGGGGGCACTCTGATGAGGAGGGGGGGGGAGAAGGAGGATGATTAGGAGGGAGAGGAGGAGGAGGATGATTAGGAGGATGATTAGGAGGATGATTAGGAGGATGATTAGGATGATTAGGATGATTAGGAGGATGATTAGGAGGATGATTAGGAGGATGATTAGGGGGGCACTCTGATGAGGAGAGGGACAGGAAAAAGGAGGATGATTAGGAGGAGGGCGAGGACGCGGGCGAGGAAAAGGAGGAGGAAGGAGGAGCGCGCCGCTGGGTCGCAAGAGGGGGAGGGGGAGGATGGAGGAGGGACGTGCCTACTATACCGACGGTCGAGAAAGTTGAAGCTGGGGTGGATCACGCGTGTCCCGCGTATGCGTACGCGCGTTTTGCTTAAACAGTGTGTTTGTGCACTCGCTGAGTTAGGTTATCCCATCAGCTTTGATTTACAGCTATCATGTCCCCTCTTCCTCCCCCCTCCCTCTCCTCCCCTCCTCCACTCTCTCTCCTCCGTCTGCGGCCCCTCCTCCCTTCGCGTCCTACTTTCGACCCCCCCGTCTTCCCGTTGCACCTCCTCAGGATAAGCATTCCCCGGTTCCGTCGCCCGCCCCCGATCAAGCGACGAAATCTACACATATCCGCTGCTCCCCGGCCAGGCCCATCCCGAACCCAGGAGCGGTGTATACGCATTCCTGGCCAAGCCAGGAGAGTGTGGCGCATACACCGCTGTTGGGTTCAGGATGGGCCTGGCCAGAGGGCAGTGGATACATGTACATACATATAAATGTATGTGTATGTGTGTACGTATGTATGTATGTATGTATGTATGTATGTATGTATGTATGTACGTATGTACGTATGTACATATGTACGTATGTACGTATGTACGTATGTACGTGTGTACGTATGTACGTATGTACGCATGTACGTATGTACGTATGTACGTATGTACGTATGTACGTATGTACGTATGTACGCATGTACGCATGTACGCAAGTACGCATGTACGCATGTACGCATGTACGTACCTATGTACGTATGTACGTATGTACGTACGTACGTACGGACGGATGGATGGATGGATGGATGGATGGATGGATGTATATATACCCGTGCAAGAGGCCCGGGGGCCCGAATTCGCGACCTCGGGTGGGCATGGGGGTGCCGGGCGTCGTTTTCCCTGTGTTTTTACATGGGTTCGGCGGCCCGGGGCCAACAGGGCCCCAAGAGGCTGCAGGGAGGCCCAAGGAGGCCGCAGCAATGGCTCCAGACGCCTTTCAAGACGACGCCAAGAAGGCCCCCGAAGGCCCCGAAGACGCCCCAAGAGGCACACCGAGAGAGCCCAATAAGCAACATCGCCGATGTCCTATGGGAAAACTGATACTTTTGGCGTGTTTGCCTTTTGGGCGTCCACTGCGTCGAAGACGGCCCAAGAGGCACCCAAGCCGGTCGAGGATGCCCCCAAGAGAGCCCCAAGACGGACCACGAGGGGGCTAAGACGGCCCACGAGGCGCCCAAACCGCCCAAGAACGCCCCAAGGCGGCGCCCAAGACGGGGACGAGGAACCGGAAACTCTAGCCTTCTGGCCCAAGAGACCCTAGGAGACCCCAAGACGCTCCAAGAAGGGGCCCAGAAGCCCCAAGAGGCCCCCATGAGACCCGAACAAACAGCAAAAGAGGCCCCAAAGACACCCCAAAGAAGCACCCCGAGAGTGGCCCAATAAGCAAAATTCGTCGATTTCCTAATGGGAAAACTTGTATTTTTGGCGTGTTTGCCTTTTGGGCGTCCACTGCATCCAAGACGGTCCATGAGGCACCCAAGGCGGTCGAGGATGCCCCCAAGAGGGCCCCAAGAGGGCCCACGAGGGGGCCAAGACGTCCCACGAGGCGCCCAAACCGCCCAAGAACGCCCCAAGGCGGCGCCCAAGACGGGGACGAGGAACCGGAAATTCTGGCCTTTTGGCCCAAGAGACCCTAGGAGACCCCAAGACGCTCCAAGAAGGGGCCCAGAAGCCCCAAGAGGCCCCCATGAGACCCGAACAAACAGCAAAAGAGGCCCCAAAGACACCCCAAAGAAGCACCCCGAGAGTGGCCCAATAAGCAAAATTCGTCGATTTCCTAATGGGAAAACTTGTATTTTTGGCGTGTTTGCCTTTTGGGCGTCCACTGCATCCAAGACGGTCCATGAGGCACCCAAGGCGGTCGAGGATGCCCCCAAGAGGGCCCCAAGAGGGCCCACGAGGGGGCCAAGACGGCCCACGAGACGCCTAAACCGCCCAAGAACGCCCCCCAGGAGCCCAAGAGGCTTTTCCGGGGAGCCTCCACAGCACCCCAGGAGGGCCCAAGACGCCTCCCAGGAGCACCCAGAATGCGAAAAGATGATCCAAGGCGTTCCCAAGCAGCCCAAGTTAGCCTTCGGACGGCTCTCGAGGCTCCCAGGTGGCCTCCAAGAGACCCCAAGAGAGGTCCGAGAGGCGTCTCGGGACGGCCCGAAGAGGCCCAAATCGTCGATGTCCATTTGTTTTTGCAATGTTTTTGGCTTCTCGCGTTTTCGAGCTTCCAATGGTCCAAGAGCGCCGAAGAGGCTCCCAAGACCGCACCAAGACCACCCATGAGACCCTCTGGACGGCCCCGAGACGAGCCAAGAAGGTTCCAAGACTGCCGAAGAGGCGCCCAGGACAACCCCAGAACAGGCCCAAAATGGGCCCAAGAGCGGGAGCAGGAGGCTTCCAGCGACCTCCGAGAGGCCTCTGGGACCCCCCAGATGCCCCCAACACACCCCCGATCACTGAGAGGCCCCAAAGAGACCCCGACGGGCCGTCGCGGGGCCCTCTTGGGGCCCGAGAGGGGCTGTCTCGGCCATCGATGAAAGGATGGGGGCCCCCGACCTAGCCCCCCCTCCCCATCGGGGCCCTGAAAACCTCCTCTTGGGGAGCCGTTGGAGCCCTTTTGGGCGCTCTTGGGCCGTCTCGGGGCCGCCTCGGGGGCATATCGGGCACCCAAAGCGCGCGGGAAGCGACGCGACGAGAAAGCAAACATCGCCCATTTGCCTGGGTTTTTATCAGTGCTGGGCTCTTGGAGGGGTTCTGAAGGCTCCCCGAGAACCTCGGAAATCGTCTTGTGGTCATATTGGGGCCTCCTGGAGGCATGTCGGACGCTGTCTTGGACCAACGTCGGCTATCTTGAGGCATCTTGGAGGCCACCTTGGTGGACCAGAGGTCCTCCGGAGCCGTCTCGAGCGAACAAGGGCCCTCCAACCACTCGCGACCCCCCCCCCCAGCCACTCGCGACCCCCCCCCCCAAAAAAGTCAAGGTGAATGGGGTAGGGTGGGGGGGGCCCGCCTCCTATCCGTAGCCAGCATTGCTCAAGCACGCTAGCTCGGGGGGTGGGGGGGCGTCTGAATGGCGACTGGACGTTTTGACCATGTCGGGGCGCCCGACAAAACTCAGGCGCCTTGAGAGGCTCCGCGGGAGGCTGCCCCACGCGTCGCAGAACGCCTTCAGCAAACTATGCAACGAGATCGAAGCACACGGCGTGCCCGAGGCCCACAGCAGGGCATCGTTCTACGAGGCCCGTGAATGGGCCGCAGGCGTGATCACCGATTGCGGCCTTCTCCGCAAAGATGTCGAGTTGGACACGCTCGACGGTGGATCTCAGTCGCCATACGTGGCCCAACGTCTTGCACTGATCTCGCGCGCGCATCAGATATCCGATCAATTCGCGTCGCTCCTGGGCAAGTGCCACGACGAGAACCCTTCGTCGGTTGAGGGGCCGCGGCGCGCGCGCCTGCGCAGCGGCGAAGTGACGCCTGCCAACCCTCTGGTAGTGGACCAGAGAAAGAAAGCTCAAGTGGTGTATTTTTTTGTAAAGTTCGGGGCTTCGGCCCTGTGTCGGAAAGCAGCGCGGTTCCTCGCGGCGCAGGAACGCAGTCGTCTTCTTCCAAGCGTCACAGGCGGCGCGGCTCAGCTGTTTGGTGCCACGTCGAAGGAGCTGTTCTTGGAGCCTGCTGGCTCGCTGGCGACTGGCGTCGTCTCGCGGCGGCCTGGTTCGCAATTGATGCGCCTCCTCGCAGCGCGAGGCCCTTGCGCGCAAGACGGAGGGGTCCACGAGGCCACGCGGCATTGCCGAGGCGACGGAGGCACCAAACATTGTCTACTGCACAGCAGCGTTCATTGAAAGGCGCCATCTCCAGGACGAGGACGGCAGCGACCTCGCCACATGAAGCGCGATGAAATATAGCGACCCCGCTCTTGCAACAAGTGATGAACGGCGGCGTGCTTGCAGACGTCTCATGGCGAACCGACTGGCTGACGACCCACATGCGTTCGCAATTCGACAGAACGTCGTGGGCTTCGCATGCGCGCCGCACAACATATCGCGCGACCCGACTCTCAACGCGGTCGCACAACCGAGGGAGCAGTTCATGTTCGATTGGATGCATTGCATATGTTGTGGAGGCGTTTGGTCGATCTGTCTGGACTGAGTTTGGGAGGCAATCAGGGCGACGGGCATGGCGCGCATGTGCGATGTCTTGCATGGCCACGCTGTTCTGCGGCATTGGCCTAGTAGGACCAAAGCGGGTAAAGCGTTTGAGGTATTTGACTTTAGGCGCAGGGATGGGAACGCGAAGGCCAGGCACTTCAAGTGCCATGCCAGCCAGGGCCTTTTCAGTCTACCGCGTTGCGCTGCACTTTCTCCAGGTCGCGGCGGTCCCTAATGGGGCCAGCATGGTTGATAGTGCGGCGCACGTTGGTATATGCTGCGCCATGGATTGCCCTGCGTGGCCAACCAGGGTTGCGTAGGATCCGGGCAGATACTTCATTCATCAGAACAGTTTCTCTGTAGTTTCGTTGCTGCGCGGGGCGTGTAGTGTGACAGTGCCAAATTTCCATCGGTGGTTACATATGGGGGGGGGTCGCGCCAGCGGTACAATGCGCTCATTAGCTGCCTCGTCCACGAGAGGGGGCATACAGTG